CCTGGAGTCACCAGCTCCCACAGTCTCAGATCATGTGTTCAAGCCACTTAACTAGCAGAAAGTAGCGTACCTGCCCTGCTTGGCACATCCCTATCTGATTGTGGCTGTTCTCTGGACCAGACCACTTGAAGGTCCTTGCTATTGGTCAGTATGACACACTTCTAGATCTGCTTTTTGTTTAAAATGTTTTACTTTTCATTCATTCATTCATTCATTCATTCATTCATTCATTTTTAATCTCTCTTCTTCTCCTCCTCCTTTTTTTTTGAGACAGGGTTTCTCTGTGTAGTTTTGGGGCCTTTCCGGGAACTCACTCTGTAGACCAGGCTGGCCTCGAACTCACAGAGATCTGCCTGGCTCTGCCTCCCGAGTGCTGGGATTAAAGGTGTGCACCACCACCGCCCTTCAGGCTTTTCTTTTTTTTTTTAAAAAAAAAAAAGAATTTATTTACTTTTGTTTTATGTGTATTGGTGTTTTGTCTGTAGGTATGTCTGTGTGAAGGTGTGAGATCTTGGAGTTATAGACAGTGTTAGCTGCCATGTGGGTGCTGGGATCTGAACCCGGGTCCTTTGGGAGAGCAGTCAGTGCCCTTAACCGTTAAGCCATCTTTCCAGCCCCTTTCTTTTTTCTTTCTTCCTTTCTTTTTTTAAATAATTTATTTGTTTTTATTTTATATGCATTGGTGTTTTGCCTGCATGAATGTCTGTGTGAGGGTGTCAGGTTTTGGAGTTACAGACTGTTATGAACCGCCATGTGGGTGCTGGGAATTGAACTTGGGTCCTCTGGAAGAGCAGTCAGTGCTCTTAACTGCTGAGCCATCTCTCCAGCCCCTCATTCATTTATTCCTTCAGACATTGTGTGTATGTGTGTGTGTGTGTGTATGTGTGTAGTTCGGGTGGCCAGGTGAGCCATGGCATGGGTATGGAGCACAGAGAAGAACCCACCAGAGTTGGTTCTCTCCTTACACCATGTAGGTTCCAGGGACTGAACTTGTATCTTCAGGTTTAGAGGTGAGTGTGCTGAACCTTCTTGTAGGCTACCAGGTATGTTTTGATCCAACACCTGTATACACGCCCAGGCTAGATGGCGGGATGCCTTCAGCCCCACAACTACAAACAAATCCTGGACCCTCGCCCCTTTCCCTTTTTCAGACTTTCCTGCTTTCTTTCTGGGTGTTAAAGAGGTGGTACAGATGTCAGCAGCCCAGCCAGTCGGGCAGTTTCTGGGGAGGTGCGGCGGGAAGAGGAGAACAAAGCTGGGATTTGGGGAGCTTGAATCATTACGATACTGAATTCCTACCTGAAAGTGAACCCCAAATGCCTGGATTACAGTCATTTTCCTAGCAGAGTTCTTCATTTTTAGGGATATTTTAGGCCTTAATTAAGAGCCATGAAAGGCCTGTACTTTAGTCATACAACCCTGGAAGGAATTACACCGAGGTGATTCTTTTAAAGGTAAAAAACCAGGGAACTGGCTGAGTGGACAGAAGTGTAGGTCAGCGGCATCACCTGAGGGAGGAACATGGTCAATGGCCGCTGATGGTGAAAAATGCTTCCACAGAAGGTTCCATGGCCTTTCTCTGGTCCCCAAAGGTTACCATGGAAGGACAATAGACAGTAGGTTCCCTTCTTAATTAACATTTTTATTAAATAACCCATTTCAAATAATGGTTAAATTCTCTAAATTTATATCATTCTATTAACCATAATCTAATCTCATTAACCTTGAAATCCCAGTCTTAACTATCCAATTCTGTACACCCTGGTACTATCTATAAACTAATTAAGTGACCTTCAAACTATTTGTCCTCCGTACAAAATCATTTTCTTTGCTCTCAGTTCTTTGCTGGATCTCTCTCTCTCTCTCTCTCTCTCTCTCTCTCTCTCTCTCTCTCATTCATTTGGTTTCAATTTGATTAATTAATTAATTAATTATCTGTTGTGGGTAAGTCAGTGGACAACTTTTGAGAGTCAGTTCTCTCCTCTTGCCCTGTGGTCCTGGGGATCAAACCCAGGTCATCCATCAGGTGAGGTGGCGATCCCCTTTATCCACTGAGCCATCCTGCTGCCCCTGGATCTCTTCTGATGTTGCTTCCTGTGCCCATGGCTCCTGCAGGTCCCTGATTAAAGAAGCACTTTTTTTTTTTTAAGAAATAATAATAATCAAATTACTGTAATCTCACTTTATCCAAACTGGCTCGTTATTTAACGCTGTCCTTGCTATTCCCGCCCACACTGTCCCACTGCCTGGGAGCTTATTGTCTTGGCCGAGGGGTTCTACAAAGGAGGCTGGGCTGGAGCTCACTGGTAGAGAGAGCACTTGCCTATCATGTTCACTGCCCTGGGCTTGATTTCCAGCTTGGATCAAAGGAGAGGGAGGGGAATGGAAGGGAAGGGGCCCTCCCTGTAGGGGGCGCTGTGAACCTGTGTGATTACCCAGCCAGGAGCTCCCTGGCTGCCCTCAGGTTCCTATGGTGACCTTGACTTCAAGGCCACTGTGCTCAGAAGTGACTCTACAGCACTACCCTGGTTGCCCCTTTCATAGCCCAAGGCAGGCTGAAGAAGGAGCCTCACTGTGAATTTGGGCTTTGCTTTTTCATGCTTTCTCCACTCGGGCCAAGAGAGAGGTCACAGGACCACGAGCCCACGCTCTGAGGAGTGTGGCATACAACCTGCCTCCTCTCTTCAGCCATCTTTCCAGCTCCCAACACCAGGATGCCCTTGGCCTCCTAACACCTGTGTTCTGAGCCATGGAGAGGGCAGAGTCCACACGCTGGAATGTTTTCTAACAGGGAAGCCTCTCCTGGCCTGGGGCTGCAGCTCGGGAGGTACAGCGCTCGCCTTAACAACCTGGGCTCCATCGTCTGTGATGGAAAACCAACAAGAAGGCAAGCTGCCGTCTCTTGACCTGTGCACAGACGGGAGGCACGTGTGGGCTCAGATGACTCCATCTTTAGAGAGGGTTGTAATCGGACGAGGTTAAATAAAACTACACAGCAGCATTTACCTATTACCAACATTCCATGTCATAGCGCACTTGGACTAGGCTGTAAATTACCCTGAAAAACGTAGTTAAATCAAAGGCCTGATAGACAAGCTCATATACATAAATAATCACCTATGTGGGAGCAATTTCATAAGGAAGAATCTAGAAGAATGGTAGTTAGTCCCTTTATAGAGCAGGACTTAGGAGCAAGAAAATAATTTTTTTACTTACTTTTCAGACAATCTCACACAGTCCAGGCTGGCTGAGGATGGCTTTGAACCCCTGCTCCTCCTTTACCCCTAGGAACTGGGATTGCAGGCTTGTACTGTTGTGCCCACTTTCTCTCTGTATTTTTTCTTTTTATTTATTTATTTAAATTTAATTATTTATTAGGTATACAGTGTTCTGTCTGCACATATACCTGCATGCCAGAAGAGGGCACCAGAACTCACTACAGATGGTTGTGAGCCACCATGTGGTTGCTGGGAATTGAACTCAGGTCCTCTGGAAGAGCAGCCAGTGCTCTTAACCTCTGAGCCATCTCTCCAGCCCTTCTCTGTGTAGTTTTGTGCTGCTAAGATGAACTCAGAATCCTGTCCATGTAAGACAACCATTCTACCACTGAGCCATGCCCTTAGCCCACATTTTTTTCAACTTTATAAGCTTTGACATGTTTACAAACAAGGAAAAAATACATGCTTGAGATAGGATCTATGGGACAAGACTAGAACTCAGGACTCAAGGGATCCTCCAGAGCGCGGATGCATGCCACAATGCCCGATCTAGGCAGAATCTAGGAGAAATGAGATTTACAGCTGGGTGTGGTGGCTCATTCCTGTAATCCCAACACTCTGGATGCTGAAAGAGGAAGGTCAGGAGATCAGACTCAGCTGTGCAGAGTCTGAGACCAGCTTGGCTACAAAACACCCTGTTTTGGGGCTGTAGAGATGATTCTGTAGTTAAGGGCATTGGCTGCTCTTCTAGAGGACTGGAGTTTGAGTCCCAGCACCTGTATGGTGGCTCACAACCATCTGTGACTCTAATTCCAAGAGATTTAACACCCTCTTCTGGCCTTCACATACATAGCACACATGAAGGGTACACACATACATACAGACAAAACACCCATATTCATAATATAAAATATTTTTCCCCCTGAGATAGAGTCTCTCTGTGTAGTCCTGGCTGTCCTGGAATTAGCTCCGTAGACCAGGCTGGCCTTGAACTCACAGAGATCTGTCTGCCTTTGCCTCCTGAGTGCTGGGATTAAAGACATGTGCCACTGGTTCCAGCTTTGAATTTTTTTTTTCTTACTATCTAAAAAGAGATCCTGTCACAAAACTCTAAAACACCAACTCTCCAAACTTAAACCTCAGACTGCTCTAGACATTTTGAGAATTTTACTGTGGTAATCCCTGGATTTCAAGGAACCCCAACATACACATATTCATGGAGAAATTCTGGGGTGCAGGTATGAGCAGTCTGAGGAGGGGACACCTGTCTAGTGCTGACTGCACTCAACTCTAAGGCCACACAGAAGCCAGCCATGGCTAATTTTTGTTAAAGATTTATTTATTTATTACATATATAATGTTCTGTCAGCGTGTATGCCTGCATCCCAGAAGAGGGCACCAGATCTCATTACAGGTGGTTGTGAGCCACCATGTGGTTGCTGGGATTGAACTCAGGACCTCTGGAAGAGCAGTCGGTGCTCTTAACCTGTGAGCCATCTCTCCAGTCCCGGCTATTTTTGTTATAAAAGCAAAAGCAAAACAAAAACCATGTAGCAAACATATTAGGACTAACACAATTCTAGGATGTGGTTATTTGCTTGGGATAAACGCAATCAGACCATCTAAAGACAAGTGGGTGTTAAACGTCTGAGGAGAGGCGACATCAGACGGGAGAAGCGAATGGAAAGGGGCCGTGGGCAAAGGTCGGGAATCAAACCTCAGGTCTGCAACCAACATGCCAAGTCGGGAGAAAAGCAAACTGTCATGCCATTATCGACATACCACGTGGCAAGGCGGGAATCTATGTCCTGGAGCAGTACGGACCAGTCCTCACAGTACGGTTGCACGTCCTGGCAGATATACAGGACACTTGAAAAGAGGAATGTGGAGGACTCTGGGTCATCTTAAAGGGCTGGCTATGGAGTGTCACTGAGTTGATGATGCTTGGCAGGATGCACCTGAGTTGGAAGTGTGTGACTTTTCTTGAGAATAAAGTCTCTCGGATGACGGGGGCAGGGCTGTGTTCTGCCCTAAATTAATATTAAAAAAGGGGGTGTTCAATCTCTGGTGTACAGTTCCTCAGTATAAAGCACAGGGCTTTGTGTCCATAGAAGCCTCCCAGTGGGAAATCAACACCAGTGGCTGGGAACAGATACCAAGCCCGGGAGCAGGGGAGAAGTCTTTGGAGGCCAAGCAGCCCCTGTGTGGTGGTGACGCAATCACCGTGAGATCACAGGCTGTTAGCGTCCATAAAATATTATGGATGTAACACAGAATGCCAAGACAATTGTCAAACAATTCCAGAGTTAGAACAACCTCCAGGTCATCTCTCCAGCCCTCCTCCACACAGGGAGAATATGCTGAAGGTGCAGGGCTATTCCTTCCTTGGAACACTTCATGGTATCTGGTTGGTTTCTAGCAGGGTTATTCCTTCCTTGGAACACTTCATGGTATCTGGTTTCTAGCAGCAAAGCAGCAACCTCCTTCTGTGCCCTTCACTTTCTAGAATGGTTCATCTGCCAATCAAAGGCCATTTGCTTCAAATCTTTTTCTGTCTAGAGCAGTAATTATCATTCTTCCTAATGACTTGACCCTTTAATACAGTTCTTTAATAATGTTGTGACCCCCAACCATAAAATACTTTGTTGCTACTTTATAACTGTAATCTTGCTACTGTTATGAATCGTAATGTAAATATCTGTGTTTTCTGATGGTCTTAGGGAACCCCTATGAAAGGGTCATTCAACCCCAAAGGGGGCTGTGCCCCACAGGTTGAGAACCACTGGTCTAGATCAACCCTACCAGCGAGGAAGGCTGCCTTGGTGAGCTGCCATGTTGACAGGAACGGAACCTTGCCAAGGTCTCACCTGGACGCCCTCGCCTGTGAGAGCTGAGCAGGACTGGATCTGCCAGACCCGGTCCCGGATGGTGTGTAGATTCAGCCCTTCTGCGATCTCGGAGGCGGGGGCTGCCGTGAGTAGGTCCTGCTTGTTAGCAAAGATGAGCACGGGCACACAACTCAGCTTTTCTTCCTCCAGTAATTCTGTTAGTTCCTGGACCATTTTTTGGGAAGGAAAGAGGAGAGGAGTTTGAGAACTGTGACATTTAAGCCACACACTTGGACTGACAGCACATTTAGCAGGTAAGTTCATCAGCAGCAACTTTCAAGGCAGAGACCCTCAGGCTGTAACTGGGGGAGATTCCCTAGCAAATTTCTGGGCTCCAGCTAGGGGTGCTGACTGCAGAAAGCCAGAGCCAGCGCCCAGGAAGCACTATTAACAGACTCCCCAGGCGATTCTGTTGTAAGCGACTCACAGGCCACTGAGAAACACCCGAGAGCCACTGTTTAAAGAAGAAGGTAGACAGTGGCTAGAGATCTCAGACTTATTCAAGCTTACCACCTGCAAATATCTTTTTCATTTTTCCTCTGGTGCTGGGGATTGAACAAAGAACCTTACACATGCTAAGCAGGTGTCCCTCATTGGGCTGGACCCACCCCTACAAATGCATGTGTGTAGGCGCAAGTATGCATAGAAATGAAAATGACAATTAGAGATAATTGTGTCTATTAATCCCTATCTCCAAAGCATGCACTCATGCATCAACATCATCAAACTCTCATCCGGAAAGAACCAGAAGGGACTAGACCTTCACTGGCCCTCCAGGTCACAGGCTGGTGCTACAGTGATGCTAATTCTGTCTGCAGTAATTTCAAATGAGTAGATACACTTACCAAAAGGACAGGCTCCGCCTCGCTCCCTCTAAGCTCACATTTTAGCTATTTTAAACATTCAGCTTTCAAAATAAACCCGGAAAGCTGCAGGTATGGTGACGCACGCCTTTGATCCCAGCACTCGGGAGGCAGAGGCAGGTGGATCTCTGTGAGTTTGAGGCCAGCCAGGTCTACAGAGTGAGTTCCAGGACAGCCAGGGCTACATAATGAGACCCTGTCTCCAAAACCAAAACCGAAAAGACAAAAAGGAACCAGACAGCTCAAGAGGCAGCTAACTCCGAGGACACCCCTGCCCCAAGCTCACGTGCAGCCCGGGCTCAGCGCAGCGATGACCCAGAAACCACTGGGTGTGGAGGGGAGCAGCGCTGTCTCCAGGAGTCTGCAGACTCCTCCGCCCGCTTGCCAAGCAAAAGGAACAGAAACATGGGAACTTCCGCCTTTGGAAAGAGGCCAGAATTTCTGCAGTGAGATCCAAACACGCCTCTCTGGGGACTCCCTTCCCCCTGTTACTCCTGCTGGTGACCTCACTCCGACCTCAACGGCCCATGCCCAGCACGGCTCTGCGTATGACTGAGCACACAAATCACACCATCTAACCACGTTGACATGTGGCCTGCAGTTGAAGCCGTGCTCGAGTTCAAGGTTGACCTTGTCTCCTGGCTTGAAAATGAGGAGCTTAGTTCTGGCTTGTATGTATGTTTCTTCTCATCCTCCTCAATTTGCCAAAGTTACTCTTGGTCAATTAAGTATTGAAAAGTGTAAATACCGATGGTGGTGGCACGCACACCTTTAGTCCCAGTGCTCCACACCTTTAGTCCCAGCGCTCGGGAAGCAGAGGCAGAGGCAGGTGGATCTCTGTGAGTCTGAGGCCAGCCTGGTCTACACCAGGACAGCCAGAGCAGTTACACAGAGAAGCCCTGTCTTGAAACAAACAAACAAACAAACAAACAAACAAAGTGTGAATAGAAAAGCTAATTGTAGTGTTCGTGAGTTCATTTCTACAAGGTCTGGGAAAAAATCAGAAGGACTTTTGGGTGTGGTACGAAGTTCCATTTGCATATATATATATATATATATATATATATATATATAAAAGATTTATTTATTTATTATGTATACAATGTTATGTCTGCATATATGCCTGTATGCCAGAAGAGGGCATCAGATCCCACTAGAGATGGTTGTGAGCCACCATGTGGGTGCTGGGAATTGAACTCAGGACCTCTGGAAGAGCAGCCAGTGCTCTTGACCTCTGAGCATCTCTCTGACGCCATCTACTTATGTCTTATATATTAAGCTCGATTAAGCTAAAAGGCTTTCATCAAAAGACAGTGTAAAAGACTCGAAACCACTCTCTCTGGACTGCTGGTATTTTTGCCTCTTGGCTAGAATGAGCCTCCTCCTTGAACTGTAACAAGAAGTCCCCCTTTCCTCACTCATACTTCAGGTAGAGTCACGAATGCCCGGTGTTTGGGAAAGAGTTTGACATAACAATCATTTACCTGACCCGTCTCTTCAAATCTTTTTCTGTCTGCGCTGTCAATTACATATATCTGCAAAGGAAGACAAGAATTACTTCAACAAACAGACATAGAAAGAGAAGGGGCAAGTTTTGTGTTTTTTTGTTTTAAAGATCTATTTATTTATTACATATACAGTGTTCTGCTTGCATGTATCCCTACAGGCCAGAAGAGGGCACCAGATCTCATTACAGATGATTGTGAGCCACCATGTGGTTGCTGGGAATTTAACTCAGAACCTCTGGAAGAGCAGCCAGTACTCTTAACCTCTGAGCCATCTCTACCACCCAGAGAAGGGGCAAGTTTTACAAAAGGAACAGAAGGTCCTCAGAGAGTTCGGATTAACCTATCATATGGGAACAGATAGGCAATTCTCAGTTCATCTGGGGAACCAAAATAAGCGAATTAATTACTTAATTAACTAACTAACCAAGGATGCTGAGAAAACACGTCCAGGGAAACTCTAGGCCAAGGAGGGTAAAATCCCTGCATTCTGTGGGGCTCTGGTCTTTCACTAGTGAGTGAGGCTTCCTAGTCCACTAGTTCTTCCTAGAGCTCCATGAGACAGACACACTATTCTCCTATGTGGCACATAAAGACACATAAAGTCTAAACAATAACCTGCTGGGGATGCTGTGAAGGTGTTGCTCTGATTGATTGATAAATAAAATGCTGATTGGCCAGTAGCCAGGCAGGAAGTATAGTGTAGGTGGGATAAGGAGAGAGGAAAATTCTGGGAGGTGGAAGGCTGAGACAGGAAGATGCTGCCAGCCGCCGCCGATGAGTAGCAAGATGTAAGCTATCGGTAAGCCACGAGCCACATGACAAGGTATAGATTAATAAAAATGGGTTAATTTAAGATATAAGAACAGGGCCGGGCGGTGATGGCGCACGCCTTTAATCCCAGCACTCGGGAGGCAGAGGCAGGCGGATCTTTGTGAGTTTGAGGCCAGCCTGGGCTACCAAGTGAGTTCCAGGAAAGGTGCAAAGCTACACAGAGAAACCCTGTCTCAAAAGACCAATATATATATATATACAGTTAGCAAGAAGCCTGCCACGGCCATACAGTTTATAAGTAATATAAGTTTCTGTGTGTTTCCTATGGGACGCTAGTGAGAGAGATTTGTCTGTGGGCCAGACAGGACCAGGAAAACTTCAGCTACAAATGGCGCCCAAGTTACACCCAGTATGTGACAAAGCCGGGATTCAAACTCAAGCACACCCGACAACGAACTCCACAGCTGCTCTCCCATATGCGTCTGTGCTGCCCCATGTCCCCAGAACAGGACAGATGGGAGGGACTAAAGGTGACGGCATCTGCAATCCTACACTCCTGGGACCTCATTTCTCTAAGAGTACTACCATTAATTCTATGCTGACTTTGGGGTGAGACAAGAGACAGTTTCCTCCCATCTCTTTCATTACCTTCCCAGGCTGCTGGGACGTCAAGACTGAAGACTAGAAATAGATGGGTAAGCTACACTAGCAGATAATGTTTTTGTTTGTTTGTTTTGAGACAGGGTCTCATATAGTCCACGGTGGCCTTGAAGGATGACCCTGAAATTTTGATTCTGCCTGACTTGCTGGGTACAGGTGTGTTTTATGGGGTCCTGGGGACTGAACACATGGCCTCACATGAATGCTAGGCCTCAGTTACATCCCCAGCAGAAAGAAAATTTGAGACTCATTGTAAGTTATACATTTGAAGCTTCCCTCTCTGCCATGAGTTTTCGTTACTACAGAAGTAACTTTGCATAACAGTAAGGGAAATAAAGTTGAAAAGGGAATGAAAATCACCTACAGCTACAGCTTCTAAACACATCAGCTATTTAAATTTCCTACAGAAGGCTCTACCCAGCCAGGGGTGGTGGCACATGTTTGTAATCTCAGCACTTGGGAGGCTGAGGCAGGAGGATTGCTATGAGAATGAGGCTAGTCTAGGCTAATTTCAAACTCGCTCTGTAGTGAGACCCTGTCTTGAAGAAAAGAGAAGTTCTTTCCTAATTCTTCATAGGCAAATTTAAGAAGAAAATCAGAAATAAAATTATGTACTTTTAAAACATTTTATTTATATGTACGGGTGGGTATTTTGTCTGCATGCATGTCTGTGTATCACATGTGTACCTAATATCCACAGAGGCCAGAAGAAGGTGGTAGATCTCCTAGGATTGGAGTTATAGATGGCTGTGAGCCACCATGTAGGTGCTGGAAAATGAACCTGGATCCTCTGCAAGAGCGGTCAGTACTCCTAACCACTGAGTCATCTCTCCAGCACGTCCCCACCCCCCAGACAGGGTTTCTCTATATAACAGTCCTGGCTGTTCTGGAACTCACTTTGTAGACCAGGCTGGCCTTGAACTCAGAGATCCATCTGCCTCTGCCTCCTGAATACTGGGATTAAAGGCGTGCGCCACCACCACTGGGTATATTTTTAAAATGCTTTAAAAAATGAACGATGCTACTTGGTGAGGTTGGTGATAACACACCTGCAATCTCACCATTTGGGAGGCTGAGGCAGGAGGATTAAGACTTTGAGGCCAGCCTGGGCTACATACACAGTACGTATTAAGTTTGAGGGCAGCCTAATTATGTAAGACTTTGCTTTGTTTCAAAAAAAGAAAAGAAAAGAAAAAGAACTTAACATTATTATTATTGAGCTAATAGTGTAATGGAAGGCTCTCTTTAAAAAAGCACATTCAGTTAAAAATGGAAACCAACCTCTCCATCCCATAATTTAAATTACAACATTGGATTCTGCCATGCACATAGCATTGTTGTTGACTCAGATTCTCTGTCTCACTGAAAGCCTGCTCTCTTGTGGAAAAGGAAATGATCATTTCTTTGCATAGAGTTCTTCCCCTCAGTCACTAGCACTCACTATTACAGCAGAATCCGAGTTTACGTCGTCTCTCAAGAATGGCCTATGTTTCCACTTGGAGAATCACAGG